CATGGCATATTTATTTTAGTCTTTAAATAAAATAGAACAGGTAAGATTTCTACTGGGCCTTCTTTTGCTATGTATAAACCCTCTTGGAACTGTCTCCAAAAAGTCTTAAATCAAAAACAAATATTTTCATCCCTGTATCCCACTGGTATTAGAAATAAATTTTATGCCATCTTTGACTCTTTATTTTCTCTCACTTTGTATATCCAATCTGTTGCCAAGTACTGTTGATTTTACCTTTGTAACATTTCACATACCCCTACTGATTCCCTCCTGTGACACTGCCATCATCCAGGTGCAGGCCCTCATTACCTCAAGCCTGCTGGTTGGTCTGCTGGCTATAAGTCTCTTCCCCATTCTAGAGCATCCTCCATTCAGTTCTCAGTGATCTTCCTAAAGCACAAGCCTGACCTTGTCACATCACACCCCCACCCCCAGCCCCATCCAGTAGTTCCCTTTAACCTCTAAGATCAGACAGAAAATCCTCTTTGAGGTTCAAAACCTTTGATAACCTGATACCTTTCTACCTTTCTAACTTTCTTATACATTACACCCCTCCACATACTCTGTGATCCAGTGATAATGGATCAGACATCAGACCTTCGCTGGTTGTCTCCCATCCCTTCCCCCTCTTTGCCTCCTGGCATCCCTGGCTTTCTTCAAGTGCTAGCTAAAATCCCACCTTCTACAAGAACCCTTCCCTGATCCCCCTTAATTCCAGTGCCTTCCATCTGTTGATTATCTCCATTTTATCCTGTATATAACTTATTTATACAAAGTTGTTTTAATGTTGTCTCCTTCATTAGACTGTGAGCCCCTTGAGGATAGGAGCTACCCTTTGCCTTTCTTTATATTCCCAGAGCTTACTTAGCACAGTGCCAGGCATGTAGTAAGCACTTAATAAATGACTGATTCAAAAAGGCAAAATAATCCTTTAATGTCATGGTTCTGTAACATTTAATTTTTTGTTCTATATTCTGAAATAATTTCCAAGTCTGTTTTCACAAATTGTGTTCACAATGTATTCACAATCCATCATGGAATGTGTGATGAAATAGTTGATTTGGCCCTTTAGTAGAACCACTTTGGGACCCTTTTGTGGAGTAGAAGATTCAGACAGCATGTTATCATACCAGCAGTGGTAATGGAAAGGGAGTGAAATAAAAGAAAGTTATGTACTTCTCTTTCACTTTACTGTTGCCCTTATTCTAGAGTCACTGGTATGAAGTAGCTAAACATTAATTTGAGTTTTTAAGGAAGGCACACAAAATGGAGAGGGACCAGCATCTAGACACTTTGAGCGCAACAGAATTGTTGATCTTGTCTTTTTCAGGGATAGTCACTTTTAGGTTGTGCAAAAGGCACAACCTGATGCAACACTGTACAGACGTTATCTGAACCTGAGAGACTCATTCTGCCAAAGAGTAATTACGAACCTTCATGGCAGTCCAGGGATTATATGAGCATTCGCATGAACTGTTTTTTGTTTTGGGGGGTTTTTTTGTTTTTGTCCTAAACATAGAAGGAAGAATTAAGAAGTAGCTATATAACCCTTACTATCACAAAGTTAATTAGACAAGTTCAGTGTATTAATATGCTATTCTTAGACACTTGGACCTGATCTGTGATTTCACTGGAATAGGGAATGTGGATACTTCCTCTATCAAATTAAATCATCTCCAACCTAAGAGTTTTGGAGATGTGCCCAGGGAACTGAGAGGTTAAGTGATTTGCCTAGAATCACACAGCTAGTATATGTCAGAGGAGATACCTGAACTCCCGTTTCTCCACTTTTCCATAATTCTTACTTAATCAAAAAGTCTTTTGTTTTATTTCTCATAAGAGATAAGCTACATTGTTGCAATAAGATACATGTTAAGACTTGGTTTTACATGGAAGGTAACTTTAAAATAGCAGCATAGGATTTGAAGTTTTAAGAGATCATAGAGATAATATTATTCCACTCTTTTGTTTTACTGTTGAGGAAACTGAAGGTTAAGTAACTTGCATGGGGTCACATGTAGAGTAAGGGAAATACTAGTATTCAATTTTATACCTTCAGACTCCAAACACAGGGCTAGCTCATACTTCTCCCTTCTAGTGAAAGAAAATTAGTTTATTTCAGTCTCACTTAGGCTTTCATCTCATAATATCAGAGAAGCAGTTTAAGCTTTGGCACTTTGTGGCTGGGTATGATTAAACATTCCTTCTGTTTCTTTTCCTGTTATTGTTCTCATGACTGGATTTACCCAGTAACTTATTAAGTGTTGGCAGAATGATTTAAAGAAGCAGTATGGTATAGCAAAAGAACACAGTCTCTAAAGTCAGTACCTAGGTTCAAATTCTGCTTCTAACACTCACTATATGAGGGACCTTAGGACCCTAGGCCTCCATAGGTATGCTTTATCCTCAGTAAAGTGAGGGAATTGTACTATGTGGTTTCAGTGATCCCTTTCTTCTCTAAATCTTTGGTCCTAAGAAATCAGTGTGAGCTACTTTGAAAGGTCTGTGACATATGGGGAAATGACCAAGTCGATCCTAAAAACAAACATGCAAAAAGCATCACTCTTAGTTTCTTTGGAATTAGCAAAATAGAATGTGAACATTATAAGCATTGGCTTTGGTAGCCGAAGGGTGGGAGAGATGAGACAGAGAGAAGGGAAGGGAGAGAAAGGGGGAAGAAGAGGAGGAGAAGTTAGAGAAAGAGGGAGAAAGAGGCAAGGGAGAGAGGAGTGTGAGAGGAGAGGGAGGGGTAGAGAAAGAGAGGGGGTAGAGAAGAGAGGTATATTGTGTGTGGGAGAGGGAGAGAGAATGTGAAAGTAAAAAACACTTGGAAACACCACTGTCCGTAGATCTAAGTCTGATGGTATGAGCAGTTGTGCAGTCAGACTTTTAAAAATAGCGTAGGTAGTGCTTACACTCAAACATTTGTTAAGTGTCTGCTATTTGTAGCAGCCACCATGTTAAATGCAGTGGAGGGAATATGCAAGATTATAAGGTATATGTAAAGAATGGAGTCAGATTCCAGAATTTTTTGACCTCATTTTCCACAGAGGTGGCATGTTATATTTGTCTCTTTTGTATAATAACCCAATTTTCATTCCTGAAATAATAGAAAATATCTTGGAACATATCTCCCAGGGAAAAGAACCAAGCCAATATTAACTCTGTTGTCTTGGCTAATAAAAGTTGTATGAACTAATGTGAAAAGGGAACTGGACAAAGAGTGTGGAAACCTGGGCTCTAACTCTCAGCACTTCCATTGATTAGTGTTACCCCTAAATAACTGCCATTAATTAGAAGTAGCAGAGTTACTGAATTTCTTTGGGATTTGGTGTTCTTACTTATAAAGTGAGAATAATAGTAGACCTCCCTACCTCACGGAGCTGTAAGGTGCAAAGGAGATGAAATGGAGGAGAGTAAAAAGTGAAGAACACTGGAAAAATGCAAGATGATAATTACTATAATTATTATTACCATGGATGGAGTCACACTTACAGCTTTGTGTGGAAGACTTAGTCTTTCTGTCTGTTAACACTGCATATCACTATAGTATAGATATTGACTTTTTTGAATTCAGGAGACTTCCATTATCTGTAGGAAATGATCTTTTCGAAACACTGACTTTATAGCTGTGGGAGTCTATTGGAAAAAATGTAAAGCTTTTTTTTTCTTTTACAAAAAATTCTTAGATTGCAGTTTTACTTAGAAAACACTGAGACCTGGAGGTAATTAGGACTTTTCTTTTATTTTTAAACCAAAAAAAAAAGGTTTCATTTCCTCCTGTGGTTATGTTGGTAAATTATAGAAGATTAAATTGAAAAAAAATCATAACTATGTTGCCTAATTAAATTTGTAATTTTCTTGAGCAGTTACAATCTATGTGTTATAGTTCATGTTGTATCAAACTATTTAAAGAAACTAAATGTGTGTTTTGTAGTTATTTCAATCCAAGGATAATACAACTGTGTCAAAAAAGAAAGCTTTTAAAGAATATTGCCCCTCCCTCCCTCTTGGGAACTATCTAACATGAACTTTAAAATAATTACCCATTATCTAGTGGTACATACTTTACTATTTTTAAGGCTTCTGTTATTCTTTTTTTTTTCCTTCTCCTCACCCAGAGCATATGTGGATGCCCGAGTCCAGCCAATCTATGGTGGAACCAATGAAATAATGAAGGAGCTGATTGCTAGAGAGATCATTCGTGACAATTAAACAAACATCTGCTCCCATCCTGGAATCCAATTACTGTTGATCTGGGTTTAAATTTCTTTATGATAGAAAACAACCTGGAAAGGGAAAACGTATTTGAACTTTTTTTTGTATAGGATGAAACAAAGTTTGGAGATCAAAAATTCCTTTGTTGAGGGAGAATTCTTCATACATCAACTTCTGAAATATTTTTATGGGAGGTTGAACAGTTGATTTTACATAAACTGAAAAGGAAAAAGAATAATACATTTTAAGGTCTTAGTAGCTCAAATTTGAACTTAATCTAAAATTTTAAAATGACCCTAATTTGAGTTTGAGTTCACATAGTGCAACTTAACTTGGAATAATTCCAGGGGATTTTTGCAAAATTATTCACAGAATTTCTTCAGTTGCTGTGCCTGATGAGGCCTTACTTAGTATGGACCTTTCCATTTTAATTTTTAAGAGAATTATCATTTACTCCCTTACCTTTCTTTAAAAACTTTGGTATATTTCATGGATCTCAAAGGATTGGCTCTTCTTTCAGAATAAAATAATTAATGTCAATAAATGCAGCAATTTAATTCGAAAAGAAACCACATTATTTAAGAATGTCTTATATATGTTAGTGAAACATCAAATAAAATATTTTAAATGCTTAAATTATTCTTGTTAACCATAAATACCAAAGTGGCATGTCTGTCATTGTGCTTTGTTTTAGATTTTTGTTTTTGTACTTCTCACTAGGGAGGACAGAGGTATTGTTGGAAGCTGGTTGTCTCCTAAATTTATATCCATATTCACTGTGGATCCATGCCGGTTCCTCCAGGCATCAGAGTAGATTTCCTTTTTCTGTGGCTTCTGACTCAGACAAAACATTTTCTTGACTATTAGTAGACTTCCCCCAAGGAAGTATTTTTATCAGCAGCTACTTGGATGAAGATATAGATGACATCCTTATAAAATCTGCAGACAACCTAGTTCTGGCAGGAGTAAGTGATATGGCAGAATCAGGGACCAAAAAGATCCTAACAGGCTAGAATGATGAACTCCCTCAAATAATATGAAATTTTAAAATGTGTCCACAAAGGCCTACTCTGATGCTTCTTCCTAGTATGGAAATGATCTTGAGTTCTCCAAGTCTGTGCCAGCAGAGCCATGCCCTTGACAAGTTCTACCATCCTGGAAAGGTTTCAGGTGTTTGAACCAGCAATGGACTGGTCTGCTTTCCAAAGACTTATCTAGGTAAGTGCAGAGAAATTGACTTGTAATCAGTAGAATGGACTTTTGGTGATGAATTTCCTAGCTGTGGCCCATCCATTGAACACACAGTTTGTGTGGCTCTTTGTATACTTCTGTAATGCTGATATCACGGGATATAAAGAATCACAGTTTTCAAATTATTTATAAGCATTAATTCATTTGTTGGATATAAATGGGATAGACTTTTCCCCCGACCAGTAAGTGGACATATGGCTGGAGAATCAAAAAAATTGAATCAAACCTGTCTTTAAAATTCTTGCTACAAATGAAACCAGAAGGTAAAAAGAAAGTTGCACCTAAATTGAAGGATAACTCACAAAGTCTTCTCAGACAAACCAGTAAAGTTATTGGTGACACTGGTTGTATCATACTTCTAAAGGCAACAAGAAACTTTTCATGAGACATTTGTTCATCTGTTGTAGTACTCATAATGATTTCAAAAACAAATCATGAAAATAATCGCACTGTATGCATAAACATTGATTACAAAGATGAAGTTGAGAAATGTTTCAAAGAATTTTCAAAGACTCTTCACATTAAATAAACATACTTTAATGGTCAGTAATATCAGTGCAAAGGTGGTAAAGAGGAGGATGACAAAAATGTATTAGAAAGCATGGATCAGGATTAAATAACAAAAAGGGCCAAAAGTTCATAGACCAGGGGCAGCTAGGTGGCGCAGTAGATACAGCATCAGCCCTGGAGTCAGGAGTACCTAAGTTCAAATCCAGCATCAAACACTTGACATTTACTAATTGTGTGACCCTGGCCAAGTCACTTAACCCTGTTGCCTAGCAAAAAAAAAAAAAAAAGGTCATAGACCAAAGAGAAGCTTCACACCTATGAATCAACTATTTTCTTAGGAAAAAGAGTTGAGACACTAGACATGACAAATACTCAATAATGCCACAAATAAAATGAAATATTTTAATAGGCAAGAAAGGACTGGCTACTGATATGGGAGCCATTTCTAAATCAGCTTTCTGTACAATTAGATTACCATTTTTTCAGAGCAAAAATAAAAAATGCCAAATGAGAAAATAGAGCATGCAGTTGAAACAACTTCAACTACCTGACCTATTTATTTTTTTTATTTATTTTTATTTTTTCACTTTTTTTAACATGTGTTTTTAAAACTTTAGGTTACAAATTTTTCCCTTCCTCCCTCCTCACCCACCCTCTTTGAAAAGGCAAGCATCTCGATACAGGTTATAGATGTGTAGTCATGCATAACACTTCCATAGTAATCATGTTGTGAAAAACTAAGTATATTTCCCTTCATCTGTCCTACACCCCATTTATTCTATTCTCCATTTGACCCTGTCCCTCCTCAGAAGTGTTTGCTTCTGATTATCCCCTCCCCCAATCTGCCCTCCCCTCTGTCAACCCCCTGCTCTCTTGTCCCCTTCCCCTCTTATTTTCCTGTAGGGTAAGATAGATTTCCATACCCAATTGAATGTGTATGTTATTCCCTTCTTAAGCCAAATCCTATGAGAATAAGATTGACTCATTCCCTCTGACCTTCCCCCATTTTCCCTCCACTGTAAAAGCCTTTTCTTATCTGTTTCATGTGAGAGATAATTTACCCCATTCTACTTCTCTCTTTTTCCTTCTCCCAGTATAATCCTCTCTCACCTCTTAATTTTATTTTCCAATTATCACCCCTTCATCTTCAACTCACCCTGTGCTCTCTATCTATCTATCTATCTATCTATCTATCTATCTATCTATCTATCTATAACCTATAATTTTTTTTTCCCTCCAACTACCCTAATACTGACAAAGGACTCATGAGTTACAAATATCATCTTTCCATGCAGGAATGTAAACAGTTGAACCTTAATAAGTCTTTTATGATTTCTCTTTCCTGTTTACCTCTTCTGTGTTTCACTTGAGTCTTGTGTTTAAAAGTCAAATTTTCTATTCAGCTCTGGTCTTTTCCTCAGGAATGCTTGAAAGTCCCCTATTTCACTGAATGACCATTTTTTACCCTGGAGGATTGTACTCAGTTTTGCTGGGTAGGTGATTCTTGGTTGTAATCCTATCTCCTTTGCTTTCCAGAATATCATACTTCATACCCTCCGGTCCCTTAATGTAGAATCTGCTAAATCTTGTGTTACCCTGATTGTGTTTCCACAATACTTGAATTGTTTCTTTATGGCTACCTGCAATATTTTCTCCTTGACTTGGGAATTCTGGAATTTGTCTACAATATTGCTAGGAGGTTTCCTTTGGGGATCTCTTTCAGGAGGTGATTAGTGGATTCTTTCAATTTCTATTTTGCCCTCTGGTTCTAAAATATTAGGGCAGTTTTCCTTGATAGATGATGTCTAGACTCTTCTTTTGATCACGGCTTTCAGATAGTACCTGACCTATTTAAACAAGGTGTTGATAACAAAAAATGGAAAACATAAAAGAACACTTAAAATTGTCACTATTTCCTAAGAAAGTTTAACCAGTGTAAACACTTTGCCCCAATTTAAGATCAAAAGAGCTCAAGAGTTGCTCTAAGCAAGCAACCAATTAATGTCCTTGGAAAATAGGACAACCTGTATATAAAATCTTTTGGAGATCAGCTAAAGTTGTAGGAATAGTATCCCTCCACTATGAGAGATATGAAAACATGTATGTAAAATCTTTCAAAGGATAGTTAAAAGTTGTAGGAATAGTTAATAATTGTAGAAATGTATGGGTTAAAGAACAAATAATAGAAACAATCAATTTCATTAAAGAAAGTGACAATAATGAAGCAACATATTAAAATCTACGGGAAACAGCAAAAGCAATAATCAGAGGAAATTTTATATCTCTAAGTGCTTATATCAATAAAAAAGAGAAAGAGCAGACCAATGAACTGGATATGCAATTTAAAAAAACTAGAAAAAGAACAAATTAAAAATCCCCAATTAAACACTAAATTAAAGGTGAAGTTAATAAAATTGAGGATAAGAAAACCATTGAATTAATAAGTAAAACTAGGAGTTAGTATTACAAAAAATAAGATAGATCAACCATTGGTTAATATGATTAAAAAAGAGAGAGAAGAAAACCAAATTACTGTATCAAAAATGAAAAGGGTGAATATACCACCAAAGAAGATGAAATTAAAGCAATTATAAGGAGTTGTTTTGCCCAATTACATGCCAATAATTTTAACAACTTAAGTGAAATGGGAAAATATTTACAAAAATGCAAACTGCCCAGATTAGCAGAAGAGGAAATAGAATATATAAATACACCAATTTTTTTTAAAAAAAGAAATTGAACAGTCTATAAATGAGCTTCCCAGGAAAAAAACACCAGTACCAGAGGTATTTAGAAGTGAATTTTATCAAACATTTAAAGACCAACTAATTCCGATATTAAATAATTTGGAATAATAAGCAAAGAAGGAGGTCCTGCCAAACTCCTTTTATGAAACAAATATGATACTGAATGAGGAAAAATAAAAACAGAAGGAGAATCATAGACCAACTTCGTTAATAAATATGGATACAAAAATCCTAAATAAAATACTAACTAAAAGATTACAATAATATAGTACAAAGATTATACATTATAACCAAGCAGGATTCATAGCATGAAGGCATGAATGGTTTAACATAAGGAAAACAACATAATTGATTATATCAATAATAAAAGTAACCAAAGTCATATAATATTGATAGTTGCAGAAAAAGCATTTGACAAAGTACAACACTCATTTGTATTAAAAACATTTGAAAGTATAGGCATAAATAGACTTTTTGCTAAATTGATAAGAAGCATTTACCTAAAATTATTAGCAAGTATTATTTGTAGTAGAGATAAGCTAGAAGCCTTCTCAATAAAATCAGGTGTGAAACAAAGATGTCTGCTGTCACCAATCTTATTCAATATTATATTGGAAATTCTAGCAATAGAAATAAGAGAAGAAAAAGAACTAGGAATCAGAATAGGGAATGAGGTAATAAAACTATCTCTTTTTGCAGATGATATGATGATATACTTGGAAAATCCTAAAGATTCAACTAAAAAGTTAATTGAAATAATAATTTCAGCAAAGTAGCAGGATATAAGGTAAACCCACATAAATCATCAGCATTCCTATATATATATATATATATATATTACCAACAAGATCCTGCAGGAAGAGATTGATAGAGACACCTCATTTAAAATAACTCTGGGACAGAATAAAATACCTGGGAATACAATTACCAAAACAAACCCAGGATCTGAGCAAAACCATCAAAAAATTTTATACACAAATAAAATCAGATTTAAATAAATGGGGATATATTCATTGTTTATAGGTGGGCAGGGCCAACATAAGAAAAATGACAATTTTACCCAAATTAATCTATATATTCAATACCATCCCAATTAAATTAACAAAAATATGTTTTACTAAACTAGAAAAAAAAATAAAATTCATTTGGAAGAGCAAGAGGTCAAGAACATCAAAGGAACTAACTGAAAAAAAATGTAAAGGAAGGAGGTTTAGCGGTACCAGATCTTAAACTACATTATAAGATAGTACTTTCAAAACTATCTGGTACTGGCTAAGAAATAGAAAAGTAGATCAATGGAACAGAATAGACATACAATCTACAGCAGCAAACAAATATAGTTACCCAGTGTTTGACAAGTGGAAAGACTTAAGTTTTCAAGATAAAAATTCATTATTTGGTAAAAATTGTTGGGAAAGCTGGAAAGCAGTTTAGCAGAAATTGGGCAGAGACCAATATCTTACACCATTTACCAAGATATGGTCAAAAAGGATAAATGAGCTACATGTAAAGGGAGTTATTACAAGAAAATTTAAAGAACATGGAACATATTACCTATCCGACTTATGGATAGGTGAACAATTTGTGAGCAAAGAAAAGATGGAAGGTATTGTGAGATGTAAAATGGATTATTTTGATTACATTAAATTAAAAAAGAATTTGTACAAATAAAACAAACGTAGCCAAGATCAGAAGGAAAGCATAAAACTA